AGGCGTCAAAGTAAAATGTGTACGGCCAATTTTTAATCCTAAAGGTACTCTTACCAAAATTCTTATATCAACTTCCTTGTGCTTCCAAGGCCCCCATCACACCCCTTCACCCCATTGAAAGAAAAAAGCAAAGAGAAAAAGAGAAAATACAAAAAGTTTAAGGATCTTCGTGAAAGTTGAACAAATGGTTCTATTAGAAGAACTCTATTATGCATGTATGTATTTCACTACAGATGGTGTTGTCCAGGACTTACTTGTGGCATGCTTAAGCCTTGAAACTGTGTGCAGAGTAGGTTGTGCACTTTGCCCCACTAAAGTGGCGCTTCACTGTAGTGTGTATGTTTATCATTCCCTTCTATTACGCCTTTCTCCATTAAAGCCCACACTTGTTAGCGCTTTGAGCTTAAAGTCCAATAGACTTCTATGCTTATTTCTTTTCTTTTGTTTTTGCCTTTGATAACACTGACTGCAGAAGGATATAATTATCTGGGGTTTTCAGTTTTTCGTATTATCCATCTTATATTGGCTAGATAACTGGCATAAATATTTTTCCATCACATGTTTCTTTCTCATGCTTATATTTGTAGGATTTATTGTTGGATCAGTTGATGGGCGAGTTCTTCTGGAGTACATCTGCAGATCCAGCTCAGACGAGGGGTCAGTAAAAGTTTGTCTTACTTTCTTTATGTTTGAAAAGATGAAAGTTTGTAGTACATCAGACTACTGTATGGTGATTCTGGCCAGATTACTCAAACAATGCTAGGCACAGTTTAGGTTCAACTGTAAGTAGTCGAGTTCATATATCAGGTCAGCATTAGCTGATATTTTTCGGAAGATGGTGTCTACCTGGCTTTCAAATGCATGGTGTAAAAAAACTAAAAGAGCAAAGAGCTGCTTGGCATTCACCTGACATCATAAATTCGCTTCTGCTTATTTTGCTTATATGTTTGTAAGAACACTGGTCCAACTTTCCAATTGCTGTTTCACTTGCTAACATTTGGATAGAATATAAGATCTATCAGATGTCTCAACTAGCAAACACAACTAGACAAGGTACTAGCTAGAAGAGGCTGTTGTAATCCATTTTAATCTGTCAATGCATTTCCAAAAGAGTATCAAAGCTTTATTTTCATCAGATCCCACGGAAACATTTTTTCCTGTATTTATGAACTGGTACCTCTTGAACCTGCAAGGGACTTGCTCTTTGCTCCATCTCCCTGTTGTAGCATCCACTTTCCGAAGTTGCAAATGCTGGCAAATTCTTGACATTAGCATTTCCATTAAGCATGTAAAGACAACTGATAAATTCCTCATTGCCTAAGATGACCTCATCCAGAGTGCAATTCACTATGTAGGAGATGGAAGCAAAAGTTTGATGCTGCTGCTGCTTAGAAAGATCAAATAATTATTTCTAAGCCTTTTTCAAGTTTGAGGGACCATTTTTAGTCTTCCAAGTTCCAGCATGGAAAATAGTTTAGCATTCTAGAAAAGAGAGGTGGTACAGGAAGGATGGTGATTCAGAACATTAGTAGAGAACTTGGTAGAAATGGAAAAGTTTGAGAGGGCATTTTTTAGGTCCTTGTATCAGTCAATAGTAGGCCAACAAAAGATGATTTGGCTTCTTATCTTTAATTTAGATGACATAAGAAGCAGTTGCTGAAAATCAAATCTGATTTAAAGAAAAAGAAAGATCGACAATTAATCAAGGCAAATTATAAAATCTAGAAAAAGCAGTAGAAGTATTCTTCCCAGGGCCATGTATCTTTTGGTTTAAACTTTCATATCCCTTATTTCTTTTACACTCATATCCATTTTGGTAGGGTTGCACGTTGGTGAAACTATAACTTTTCTTTTCTGTAAGTGACAAATTCAGACATTTTATGGAAGGATGAAACAGTTTCAGCTACTGAAATTTCTCAGTATATAGTTACTATGAAGTCTCATTCTAAAATCTCTCCTTTTGTATGGATCTCTTAATTCATTTGTCAGCTTTTGCAGATATGCATTTAGATGTCATCCAAAGAGTAAAGATGGGAAACGTCATCTTGTAACAGTTAATGACATTGCGTTTGACCCATCGTATGTGGTTTTCCAGTTTCAGCTTTCTGTTATTGCTAACTGATAGAAGTTATACTCACAGTACCTTTTCCCTTCCCAGCATTATTGGTTCATTTGTCACTGGTGACAATGACGGCTATGTCACCTTGTGGGATG